TTTACAGCACTAGTTAGTGGGGTTTTTTTTTCTGGACTTGACTGTCTTGGTTTAGGTGGTCTTTACTACAACACTAGAGTCAAGTGTTGTTGGATTCACAAACCTGCCAACTTTGAAGTCATGGTCTCCTCATACTCCTCCCGCACCTTTTCTTCTCTTTCTTTCAGCAGGCGTTCACAGATCATTCCAACTTGCCTGAGCGTGAACAGCGGTTGTTCTTTTCTGGTTGGAGAAACACCTCCCGAGGACGTCCCTGTGGGGAGAAGACGGAAGCCAAAAAAAAAAAAAAAAAAACAGGATGTAAATCATACAAATTGCTACGGTTAGAGTTTACCTGTGGGATCCTTCACCAACCTGGCATGCTGGAAACATTCATACACAGCTGGGATGGGGATTCTGGAGAATAGCAGACCTCTGGTTGCTGGTAGCCTCCATCTAGATGCTTCCTRTTCTGAATGCGTTTGTACTCTTGTTTGATGCTGCTGAGGATTTGTTCTAGTGAGTCAAAACGAGAAGCAGGAAAGGGGGATGTCATCAGTGAAGGCTCCCATTTTATTCAAGTGTTTTCTGGTTTTAAACTGCGTGTGGCTCAACATGTTGGAAATATGGGAGGTGATCGCTGAGGCCGACATCAGCAGCACGTTACCTGCGCTAAGTCTCGACGCCGACTGTCCAAATGGCGAGGGCTCCATGCTCAGGTATTTCCTCGGGGATGAAGTCGATGGGGCCACAGGAATGCATCTCCGTCTTTTGGGAGACGCGGGACTCATGAGCGGATCAAAATCCATGGTCCTCTTCAGGGTAGCTCCGCACGCCATAACTTTAACTTGTCAAAAGCTTGATTGAAGATACCGAAGTGAGACGACAAAAAAAGGCGACAACATTAGATACCCGCAATAACARTTCTTCTCGGTAACGGTTTTATATTTTCTTTGACGAAGAATACACGTTAAGTAGAAGAGCAACGCTCAGGCTTTATTAGAAGCTATCGTTAGCTTCCACCGCAAACCAATAATCAAAAAGAAAACAAAGCTAACGCTACTCTTCATCGCTGAAACGAGTAATTTACTGTACTTTTGAATGAACATTTTTCTTTTACCTGTCCGTGAAAAGCAGGTCGGTCCAAATGCGTTCACAAAACTGGGGTTGTTGTTGAAGTTGTTTTTCAAAAGTTAAAGGGACGAGCAGCCAGCTGCGGGCCAATTATCAGCCGTAAGATAGGGACGCTAGCTAACGCTGCTTAGCAGCCTGTTTGTTGATCCGAKGCTGTCGGCTTCCCAGGCTGGTCACGTGACGTTCCAAACACGGGCGCTACGCATTCTGGGTAATGTAGTGATTTTTCACTAGCGTTACAAACCATTCCGYGTCCAGTACAACCCAGCTTAATTGGAACTTAAATATTTTTCTAACAAATATTTTAAATGCAGCACATTGCAATTCCATTTCAACTTCTAGTTGCCAGCTTTAATTAATTTCTGATTTTTTTTTGTCCAGCAGAGGACGTGCAAACACCTACAATTGTAATAWGGATGATTCTTCCCACAGGATATGAATATAAAAAAAGAAAAAGAAATAAAAGAAAACATAAGGCAAAACCGACATGAATAAAAAAGGCAAATAATTGTAAAAGAAAATAAGAAATAACTAAACTTCAAATATGAAAAAGATGGTGTCTATATACTCATTTTTATGCTAATTTCAATAAAAAATTAATATTTTTCATTTATTTTGCACTGCAGCTGTTGCTCAGACTGACACACTTTGTTAGAATTGATCATGCTATTTTTTTCAAACAAAAACCGACCTCAAACTGATTTGCGAAGTTTTAGATTTTATTGTAAAAATGTTTACAGACACAATGGCATAAATATGACAAAAATAGATAAATTCACATATCTACAGAGCACTTGTTTTGTTGTAGACACACCCTTAAGATACACAATGTCGCTTTTGACATTTCACAGCAATGCTGCACAACAGCTTTGCACAAAAACCTGTTTTGCAATAAAATCTTTTTTTCCCTTCAAATGCAGCTGTGTTACGTTTTAAAAATATTACATGGAAAGCTTTGATGGAATCAAAAAACTATTCAGAATTTTAAAAGACAAATTTACAAACTGGTTYTCAATAAATAAATAAGAGTTGGCAAAGTTCTTAATATTATAGTGCTTACAAGAAAAAAAAAACACAATAAACCAAGTCTTTTTTAAATCATTGCACTTTTAAACCAAAGCAAGTTTTCTATGAATGATTTAGTCATTGAAGACTTTTTCATTATGACATTTATGACCATTATTTACTGAATTTAACAACCAGAATAGGAGATCTTTACTCTCCGTTGAGTATGTTTTTACAGATTTCATCCTGAAGCTCAATGCAGTGATTAATTAGTCATTTTTTGGTACTTTTCACAGTAACAAGCTGTCCACTAACAGGTCAAAGGTTAAACTAAACCATCACAGTTTTTCAGACTGGCTCTGCTGTGGAAGTCTCTGTAACTCCGGACACGGTAACCTGGGCTACTTTTATCCGGGTTCGTCCACAGACCCTCCCGTCTTTCCCCGCCCAGCTTGCTGTCGCTCTCACGCTCCTGCTGTTCCAGTCGCTCTCGGCGCTGCTGTCCAGCGACTGCGTGCCCCGCCGCCACATGTGGCAGATGCTGGCGAAGGCCCTCCGCAGGTCTTTGCTCCTCATGGCGTAGATGACGGGGTTCACGGTGGAGTTGAGCAGGCACAGCATGCTGCAAAAGGCGAAGATGGTCTTGATGAAGTCGTTCACTTTCCCAAAGAGGTCGTGGACCATGATGGCCAGGAGCGGGCCCCAGCAGATGATGAGCGCCACCAGGATCAGGACGAGGGTTTTCGCCAGACGGAGGTCCATCCGGGCCTGCTCGGGCCTCACCATCTGCACTTTGGCTCCTTCTGGCGTGTGGACAATCTTGCTCCTCTGTGAGCTGCGGCTCAGCATGCGCACGGCGTGGTGGTGCGACTTCCACAGGATGAACATGTAGGCGTAGATGATGAACAGCACCAAGATGCTTGTTATTCCGATCCAGAACATCAGGTACTTCTGGTCAATCAGGGGGAAGATGTCTGAACAGATCGTGCCGAGGCGCTTGCAGTTCCAGCCGAGCAGCGGCAGCAGCGAGATGACGATGGAGATGGTCCACATCATGCTGAAGGCGATGACGGCTTTAGTCTTGGTGACGATACGTTTGTATGCCAGTGGCCTGTGGATGGAGATGTAGCGATCGATGGCGGTCAGGAACAAGCTGCCCACAGAGGCCGTGTAAGAGGCGATGACCCCGGCCAGCTTGAAGAGGAACACATTTGGGCTGTCCTTCCTGTGGAGGATGTGAAAGTCCAGGAAGCTGTAAACAAAAATGATGCTCCCTATCAGATCAGCCACAGCCAGGCTGCCGATGAAGTGGTAGGAAGGCCGAGATCGGAGCGTCTGAGAGTGGAGGATCACACACAGCACCACGAGGTTCTCCAGCACCGTGAAAGTCCCCAGGGTGAGCGCCAAGATGGCGATCGCCAGCTGCTGYCTGGGAGTGAGGATCATGAAGCACTCCAGGTTGTCGGCAAAGTTCTCGGTGCACTGCGCGGCCCCCCCGCCCCCCACCAGCGWGACGTTCCCCAGCAGAACGTCGGACACGTTGGTGGGGAGAACGGGCGAGAGGGCCGCGAGGATGACCTCCTGGTTTCCGGGACTGAGCTCGGGGAAGGTGCTGCCGATGGAAGCGGAGTGCGGTTTGTCCAGGTGGAATCTGTGTTTGGCCAGGCTGGGGTCAACAAGGGGGTCGTCGTAGCTGGCATCATTGGAGCCGAGATACCGGAGCCCTGTCGTCAGCGTGCTCACTGTTGTGCCCGCTATCCTGTGGAGAGCCAGCTTCATGGCTGRAGAGCTGCTCAGAGGAGAGGCCTGCAGGGAAACAGCATGAGATGTACAGGAAAGAAGATCTGTTGAGAAAACACAGCCTTTTCTGTTAGRCGAATGCTGTGAAACATGTGTTTACATAATAATAATGTAAAATAAAAGGTCATTGTTGAACTAGAAACAGTGTTGAACAGCCATTTTGGTCAAAACATGAATATGATGCTGTTCAGGATTTCATAAGATTTTGTGAGATCTGTTAGAGCTCTAAGTATGTTGAAGAAGACTCAGCTACCACCTTACCAAATTTGACCTACATATCTGTAAAATTGACATAATTAGAATCATTTTTTTGTGTTTTATGATGACAGCCATCTTAAAAAGTGGCAACTCCAAAAGTTAATTGGTTACAGATAAACAACTAGTGATGAGAGTTTTATTAAAATCAGTTCTGTGTTAGCTCTTTTGCTACAAGACCAACAGGGTTGACTACAAGACATTTAATGCAAATGTTTGAAGCAGAAATGTTGTGCAATGTGTAAAGCTATGAATAGCCTATATTGTGAATAACTCTCAGCTACTACCACACCCAGTTTTAGTTACGTCTGTAAAACTGACTGATAAAGCCATTTTTTGTTTTCCAAAAATCGGTAGTCTGCGGCTGCCACCAGATCCAATAATTACATTCTAAAAGTTTCAGGGAAAATACGTCAATTGGTTCATAAAATATTTTTGCTAACAGACATGGTTGACACATATAATTGACGGCCAACTTTTAAGAAAACAGCTCAGAGAGTATAAATTGATGAATCAGGCATACCTCACCAAAGTGTCCTGTGAAATCTTTAAAATTGACTGTGTTGCACCCATTTTTGTGGCAGCCATCTTGGATCAATTAACTCCAAAATTTAAATGGTTGTAGWTGGACATCCAACAACCACTTCCTGAGAATTTCATTGAAATTCGCTCAGTGGTTCATGAGATATTTTGAGCCATWTTACAGGATGTGGGAAATCTGTGCATCAGATTCCAGATGCGTCCCAGACAATAGTGGGAAAGTGAACAGTTGATGAACCTGTGTCCCCTCCCCTCCCCTCCCTCCCCGACCCCCGGGGGGATCATCACATTAAGAGGATGGGTTGGGCTTTCTTATTAATTAAAACATGCTATAAAGCATCAAGCGGCTGTCAGTCATCACTTGAATAATCAGGCATGAAGGGAGACATTGAAAAGAGTCACCATGTCCGATTAATGAACCATCAACGTTTGGAGACATTGGAGGATAATAATAATTATTAACATTCAAACATTTTTTATGAATTAACAGTGAACTGAAGTTAAGAAACTAAAACTTTTAGAATCTAAGGACACGAATAATAAATATAAATGCATTAAAATTGATCGTAGTAGTTTAAAAATACACACCCTTTTTGTTATCAGTCCATCCCGCGGGAAAAAGGGGTTTAAGAGGAGGGAGGAAAAAAGCTGTTRAAAKCGGCAGTGAAAAGTTGTATTTCCAATAAAACTGGCAATGAGGGAGAAATGATAAACAAAGGTAAACAAAAACAGATCTCAGAGAGACGCGCTGAGTGTCGGAGCCCGCTGGGTGTGCGTGCGTTTTGGGAGCGCGCGCYGTTATATTGGCTGCGCCTTTGTGCGCGCATGCCTCCGCTGGTCACGTGGTGTTCGAGGTGTTTGAGCGCATCCGATCATCACCATCCGCACCAAAAGCTATTAATAAATGCTTGCTGGCAGGCACCAGAACCAGCTGGAGTTTGGCTCCGCGGTGGACTTCCTCCCTGATGTTGGGTTTGTGCGTGAAGCTTCAGAGATCAGAWGGAGCCCAGACACCTGACGCACTTATCTCCAGCTGCTCACATGCTTGTTATAGGTGCAGAAAAACTGCAATAGTCATAGACTTTTGACAGGGCTACAAAGGAAAGAAGAGCAACCATCAAACTGTGTGAAAAAAATGAAGGGAATGTGACATTTCTTTTGTCTTCTGAGGGGTTTTATCTTTAGATTTTGACTTGTTCTTGGTTTCTCTTCTGGGTTTGTTGTCTTGGTTTTCTCTTTAACTTCTCAACCATGATATAGTTTGGTTTTACCTCATTTGTATATGGATCACCACAAAGCCTATTTGAATTAAAAGCCCAACACTCTTTGAAGGAATGCATATCACCAGATGTAAAGACGTTTTTTAAAAATGGAAACAGGTACAATTTTTTTTGTCGATAGTTTTCTTTATTTGGATGTGCCCACATGAAAAAGCCTTGGTGCCAGCAACATATTCAGCTTATTGAAAACGAACGAAATAAAGGAAGAGAAAGCAGTGTTTAAAAAGCAAACAAAAATGAGTTCTCTAAGAAATATTACATATACTTCAAAAGTAAAAATATAAACGAGATTCACCATTTAAAAAATAAATAAATAAATGCAATTTATAGATTTCAAATTTGATAAAATGCTCTAAATTTTAGGACAAATCTTTGGTGATGGTCTACATGTGTTTTGTGGACCTGGAGAAGGCGTTCGACCGTGTCCCAAGGG